GGGAGACAGCCCCCAACCGGCTCACCTCTGCGTGTGAGCTGCAGAGGAAACACCTTTTCTTACAGCTCATTGGCTAAGCTCCCTGTACACCACTCTCAGTGTTCTTGATAACTTTGGTAATAAGAATCCAAGAAGGTGATCTAGGGTTTTTCCACCTCACTCCTGGAGGCAAAAAATGAAGGTCCGCTGCTAGAGGGGCTAAGAAATGTCATATCCTGCCCTAGCCAGTTTGGCTCAGTGGATAGAGCCTCAGCCTGCGGACTGCAGGGTCCAGTTCGATTCTGATCAAGGGCATGCACCTAGGTTGCAGGCCCCTCCCTGGCCTGGGCCCAGGTCAGGACTCATGCAGGAGGCAACCAATCGAAGTGTTCCTCTCATATTGATTTTTCTCTGGTTTTCCCTCTCTCTTCCATGCTCTCTGAAAATCAATGAAAAAATATCCTCAGGTGAGGAAAAGAAAGAAAGAAAGGAAGAAAGAAAGAAAGAAAGAAAGAAAGAAAGAAAGAAGAAGAAAGAAAGAAAGAAAGAAAGAAAGAAAGAATAAAGAAAGATCATATCCTACGAAAGAGACACCTTGAAAATGCCTAAAGAAAGTTATCATTTTTTTGTGGTGAAGGGACTAGTGTCCATGTTGATGAAAACACCTTGGCGGCCGGCAGTGGCAGCAGCATTGGGGTGATGGGGGTGGCACCTTCCCCTGTTCAGCCTGCAGAGGGAGGCCAGACTGCAGTTTAGGCCCGCTCCCCGGACTGTGAGAGGGGGTAGGCTGGGGGCAGGCCGGGCCTCTAGTTCATTAATAAAGTAGCCAATATTTCTCCAGGCAATTCATGGTGTCTAGTGTTTGCTTCTATTAGATCTGATGGATGAACTCTTTTTGTTCTGTAACAGAATGTCCCTCAATTTGGGTTTGTCTGATGTTGTCTCACCATTAGATTCAGATTATTTGTCTTTGGCAGGAAAATCACTGAAGTGTTGCTGTGTTTTTAGTGCATCATGAGGCACAAGATATTGACTTGTCTCTGTACTGATGATGTTAACTTTGGCCAGTAGGCTAGAGTAGTGTGGTAGAGGTTCATTTCTATATATTTCTTCTTTACATTTCAATTTATTTCGTTAGGGCTTACAAAGAAGACAACTAATAGATATTTGTTATAAACTAAAAGTAAAAAATATTAGAAAATCTTCCAGCAGAGATTACATATGAGAAAGTATTATATAAACTGGAAAAGTGCCTAAATCAAGATAACTTTCTCCAAAACCCTATAAATCAAGCCAGATATGGAGTTGGCTCCTGCTTTTGGGTTACTACTTTACTACTCTGTCTTCTACATTATGGTCATAACCTTGTGTTTTCTGCTTGAAAAAAATCATTTTACATTTTTATGCATATACAGTTTTTACTTACATTTTTTATAGATTTCACTCAGATCAAAAGTGATTATGCTAAAGATAATGGCCTGTATTTAATCTCAATTAAGTAATTTTGTTCTTTATCCCTCATGTGGAAAACAAAGTTCCCAATAGCAGGAAAGGTGACCCGAGTGTGACTGCAAAACAAAGTCATATATCAGTGTTGTTGGCACCAGCAATAAACATTTCTCTAGTCTGAATTCAGGGGCATTCTCACTGATCATACTGGCAGATTGCAAAGCAACATTTCTTTTATCCACAGCAACCTTCCTTTGACCAGCGATCATACAAACATGTATGATTCATTCTGCTGAAAACATATCACTTTGGAAAACCTGTCGGAGAGATCAGTGAGTCTTTCTGGGGCATTCAGTTTTCTAATTGCAGCTTCACTTTTATCAAACAGTTTCTCAGTTCCAAATATTTAACTTAATGAATACACCTGCCATAATGTGAAGAAAGATGTATTAATTTCCTTCCGTTGGCCATTTTCTTTGGCTTGCTGTTATATAATCCAGAAATCAAAAGGAATCAGAACATTGCTAAATAGTTAAACAACTAAATTGCCTACAATTTGAAAAGGGCACAGTTAGTAGGAAAGAATGCTAGTAAAAGGCTCCCAATGCAATGTCTGTTCTTGGAACTTTTCCTGCTCTAGGGGACCCAGGAGCAGGGTAGCAAATCCATCCACACGTAACTGTCTTTCTTCTACCCTCCAAACTGTATATTCTCTCTCTCTCTCTCTCTCTTTCATTTCTTTTTCCTGAGTTATTCTTTTTTTGTGGAAAAAAATTTAACATTAATGTTTTAACTTAATTTTTTTTTCAATTTAAAAGCAAACCCTGGATGCTCACAAATTTTAAAATAACTTTTAGGAGAAAACCTCTTTGTTCTTCTTTTGATGTGTAAATGAAGATAATACAGTACTTATTTTTTCTTCAGTGACACAGGAGTGCTATTAATTGAATTCTAGATTTACTCATAGTGTCTTGGTTTTCATCACTGTAGAACAGTTTTGAACTGTAGGCGAGTCTGTGGCCAAATTGTAAAATGGGTAATGTTTTGCTTCATTTTTCTCCCTCTCAAAAATATGTTTTCCATTTGACCCTATTGATTCTATCTTTTTGGGTTGCGTGTGTTTTTATCTATGTTGAAAGTCCTGACAAGATCACTCCACATCCAGGAAACGAAGAGATCTCTAGATAAGATAAGTAAGATGAAGATAAGAGATCCACACTTGGACACATTATAATCAAACTACAGGCCCAGTGCACGGAATTGTGCACCGGTGGGGTCCCTCAGTGTGGCCTGCGGGAATTAGGCTGAAACCACAGTCCAAATCTCTCAAGGGATGTAGTAATGCACAAAGCGGCAGGCGGCGGGGGAGGACCCTGAGCCCCGGCGGGGTGCCACACTGCTCCCGCTCAGCCCCGCCTCTCAGAGCCTTGGTAGGTTCACTGCTGCTCTGCTGTGGTCTCTGTGTGCCCGTCCTAGGGTGATACCGGCACACCCATGATCGAGAAGTGGCCATGGGCTCGTGCCCAGTCAGTCCCAATGCTGGTCCTGATTCCAGCCCTGGTCCAGATGGGGGAGGGGCGCGAAGGGGGAGTGTTCGTGGGAGAGGCTCGCACTGCCGCAGCTGCGCTTGCCAGCCATGAGCCCGGCATCTGGCGCCCTTTGATCAGCTGACCATTGCTCCCGCTGTGGGAGCACACTGACCACCAGGGGGAAGCTCCTGCATTGAGCATCTGCCCCCTGGTGGTCAGTGTGCATCAGTTGAACAGTTGCTTAGGCTTTTATATAGAGAGATTTTCTTTTCTTCTTTTTTTAAAAATATATTTTATTGATTTTTCACAAAGAGGAAGGGAAAGGGATAGAGAGTTAGAAACATCGATGAGAGAGAAACATCGATCAGCTGCCTCCTGCATGCCCCCTACTGGGGATGTGCCTGCAATCAAGGTACATGCCCTTGACCAGAATCGAACCTGGGACCCTTTAGTCTGCAGGCCGATGCTCTATCCACTGAGCCAAACTGGTTAGGGCTATAGAGAGATTTTCAAAAGTTAAAGACAAGGAGAGAATCTTAAAAGCATCAAGAAAAAAAAAAATCAACTTGTTATGTACAAGGGAACTCCTATAAGACTTCCAGTAGACTTCTCAGCAGAAACTTTGCAGGCCAGAGGGAGTGACACAGTATATTCAGAGTGCTGAGGGGAAATAAAACCACCTGCCAAATAAGAGTGCAATACTCAGCAAAACTGTTATACAAAAATGAAGAAATGAAAGACAAAAGCTGAGGGAGTTCATTACCCCTAGTCCTGCCTTACTAGAAATGCTAAAGGGAGTTATTCAAGTTGAAATAAAAGGATATTAAAGGGTAACATGATAGCATAGGAAAGTATAAAACTTGTTGATAAAGATAAGTGTATAGACACATGCAGAATATTGCATTATAGTAATGATGATGAGCAAGTCACTTTTAATTCTAGTATAAAAGTCAAAAGATAAAAGTATTAAAAATAACTATAAATAATAAATTTTAATGGGTACACAATACACATAGATATAAATTGTGGCATCAATACAAAAAATAGGGGTGGGGGAGTAAACGTGTAAAGTTTTTGTATGCAATTGAAGTCTTGTCAGCTTAAAATAGACTGTTATAAGACATTTTATGTAAGCCCTGTGCTAACTACAAAAATAATACATAGGACATTACACAAGAGAAACAGAGACATAAATCAAAGCATATCATAAAAACACACACACACAAAATTAGATAGCAAAAAAAGAAAAGAACAACAGAACTGCTGGGGTCCATCCCCAGCAGGTCCAGGGGTCCCCAAAGGTGTGGACGGAGTCGGCGAAGAAGGAATGACACAGAGACAGCCTTCAGTTGATCAGCAGCCTAGCCAGGATCTCTAGCCAGGAACTCCAGCCAAGTTCTGGTCAGGATCTCCAGCCAGGTTCTGTGTCCATGTTCTCTTGCTAGGTTCTCCAGCCAAGTTCTGTCCAGGTTCAGTCACCAGGTTCTAGTCAGGTTCTCTTGCCATGTTTTATCCAGGTTCTGTCTCTAGGTTCTTCAGCCAGGTTCTCTCGCTAGGTTCTGTGTCTAGGTTCTGTCTCTTGTTGGCTTGTTACATCTGTATTTATACCAGTTGATTCTAATCCTGTCAATTTCTATTCCAAAGGTTAGGGCGTTGTTTCTTATCTCCATTCCAGGGAGTAAAGATTATGTAGCTTAAGCGTGATTGTTCATAGTTAAAGTGATTAACTACCCGCCTGGCACTTAGTTAAGGGGTTTTATTCCCTCCCTAACTTCAGGGGAAAATTCCTACCTGGGGAAACAACCTTTCTCGGAGAGGTGACCTTGGTTAAAACACATAGCGCCAAGAAGGGGAGCAAATATATTAAGAACAGTATGCCATATACGCCAGGTCCCTTGAAACATACGCTGTGCAGATGTTTCTTTTCTGCAGCGACTGTGTCAAGCAGCAAGGATGGACCGGCTTCTGGCACAGAACTATAAGACAAAACAAAAAATTGGCAATAGTAAATCCTTTCCTATCAATAATTATATTAAATGTAAATGAGTTAAACTCCCTAGTTAAAAAAAAATAGAGCGGCTGAATAGATTAAATACACAATGTCTGGCTATATACTATTTACAATAAATTCACTTGTGTTGGCAGAACATTCAGGAGAAATAGCAATTCAATAATAGTAGAGGAGTTCAATACTTCATTTTGAATAATGGATACAACAACCAGACAGATAATTTGACAAAGATGGTAGACTTTGAATAACACTATTGGCCAAACAGACACTAATGGATCCAATCAACCAAATCAGCAGAAATGTTACTAGCTTGAACTGAAAGGAACAGAGAAGAGTTGAAATGAAGTAAAATTGTTGAATTTCTGGAATGCTACAGAACAAGACAATAGTGCTATTGGCTGCGAACATACATTATCCTTCAAAAAGTGGGGAGAATAATCCAGAAAGCAAGGCTGCCTCCTCTTCAGTTCTAGAAAGCAGGGCCAACTCCTCAGTTTCAGCAGGCCAAGCTGCTGCTCCCCAGGGACTCAGGAATGTGGCTTCCATCCAGGACCTTGGGGGCAATGATGCTGCTTCAAGGGCAGGGCCATCATCAGGTGGGCCTGGAGGACAGAGCATGCCAGAGTCCATTCATTGTCTTCACTAGCTGAGTTTAGACAGAGACCCCCAAAAGCTAGTAACCTTTGAAGTCCTAGCAAAGGTCAGGACTGTGTACCACCCAGTTAATCTAGGAACCACTCAGTTAATTTAGGTAATCGTAGTTGAAGCATCATCCCCACCTTAGTTCACTTAATTCCTTAGATACTTGTGTAGATTCTTGCTGATTATTGTTGATCAGATACTCTGCCTCTTCCTGGAAATTGTCTACTGATGAGCTAATCAGATACTCTGTATATTCCTGGAAATTGTCTGCTGATCTGTGTGTCATTGAAACCTCCTTACCCTAAGGGCTACTCCAGATCAATACAAGATTGGAGCGGCCTGAGCATTGGTGGAAGTCCTTCCGGACTTGCCCGCCTGGTCCCCCAATATTGCAAAATTATCTCGTGTCATTTCTCTCTCATTTGTGTGCCGCCCCTCTTTCAGATACCGAACCCTCCTCCACGCGGGACGTGGAAGGAAACTCACTCAGCAAGAGCATCCAGCCAAAGATAATTATTTTCTAATCTTAAAATAGAATAAAGTTTTCCCTGGTAGGTTTTGGACTTGCTTGGGACCTGTGACCTTTTTCTTCTTTCTCATTTCTCACTCTCAGATTGGAATGTCTATTCTCTGCTTGTACCACCACTGTATTTTGGAAGAAGATAACTTTGATTTCACAGGTTCACAGCTGAGTAGGAATTTTGCCTCAACATGTATTATATCTTGAGTTTTAGCCACATTTGATTTAAATATTTAGGTAAGATTTGGGACTTATTGGTGCTTAGCATTAAGACTTTAGGGCTGTTGAGATGGAGGTTAATGTATTTTTCATGTGAGAAGGACATGATAAATGTGTGCTCCCCAAATTTCTATGTTGAAGCCCTAACCCCCATACCTTAGAATATAACTGTATGTAGAGATAGGGCCTTTAAAGAAGTGGTTAAGTTAAAACAAGGCTATTAGGCTATGCCCTGATTCAATCTGACTGGTGTTATAAGAAGAGGAAACATGAACAAGAAAAGAAATGCCAGGATGCTTTCACACAAAAGAAAGACCATGTGGCTTGTGTAGCCCACCCCCATCCAAGGAACAGCAGCCTCCTGATCACCACACCCTCTGTCTGAGGAACAGCAGCTGTGTGTGAAGCTTCCTCCCACCAGCCAGAGGAGCCACCACAGCGGTAAACAGCACCCACCACAGGAGCTGCTGCCAGCTGAGGAGCAGCTGCTACCACAACCGCCCGAGGAGCAACTGCAGCCCGAGGAGCCACTGCCACCCAGGGAGCAGCCACTGAATGACTCAACATCTAGATATGTCTGTGAGATCAAACATGGGTAGACAAAGAAATCCCCAAAGGAAAGAAAAGGAGGACTCACCAGAAAAGCAGCTAAGTGAAACCGAGGCATGCAGCATGACAGAAAAAGAATTCAGATTAAGGGTCCTAGAATGCATAAACCGGATGGAGGAAAAAATCAACAACTTATGCAAGAAGCAAGAAGAAACAGATGAAAAAAATCAATAAATTATGTAAGAACCAAGAAGAAATGAAGAGTGATATAGCTGCAATAAAAAACACCATTGAAAGTTTCAACAGTAGACTAGGAGAAGCGGAGGACCTTCTAATTAGCGAAATAGCTGCAATAAAAAACACCATTGAAAGTTTCAACAGTAGTAGACTAGGAGCGGAGGACCTTCTAATTAGCGAATTAGAAGACAGGGAAGCAAAACACACCCAAACTGAACTGCAATTGGAGAAAAAAATTAAAAGACAGGAGGAGAGCCTAAGGGAGCTATGGGACAACATGAAACGAAACAACATACAAATAATTATCTCTGAAAGCCAGCAGCAAGGTGGGGTGGGGTTATAACCAGGCACAGAAATCTACAATCTCTCAATATCTGTATTTATAACAGAAAACCACACACTGGGCAGCTCAAATAATGAACAGTTGTTGTCTCAGAGTTCCGGAGGCTGGCAGTCTGAGAGGAAGGTGTCCACAGGACTGGTTCCCTCTGAGGGCTGGGAGAAGAATCCGTCCTTACCTCCCCCTAACGCTGGCAAACTTTGCCATTCCTCGGTGTATAGAAACATCACCAGGACTCCTGCCTTAGTCTTTTTTAAAAATCCTATCTAATAAAGACAGAATATGCAAATTGACTGTCACACTGTCATAAAGATGATGGCACCCATAGCCACAAGATGGCGGCACCCAGTCCCCTCAGCCCTGCTGTAGTCCCCCAGTTCTTTCAGCCCTGACGGGGGTGGCAGGCCAACTGTGCAGCCGGACCCGCCCTCAGGCCCCCAGCCACCCAGGGCTGACCCGAGGCACAGGCAAGCCTCGGATGTCAACTGTCCAACTGACACCTGAGGTGCAGGCAAGCCATGGATGGTGGCTGCCCAGCCGCCCAGGGGCACCCGAGGCTCAGGTAACCAGGGCCAGCAGAGGCTTGTGCTGCTGGCAGAGGCAGCAGCAGAAGTGTGATGGGGGCATCGCCTTCCCCTGATGGCTGGGTTGTCTCTCACCCCTGAGGGCTCCTGAACTGTGAGCAGGCCGGGCTGAGGGACCACTCCCCCCTCCAATGCATGAATTTTCATGCACAGGGCCTCTAGTTTAATATATATATCCTATCTAATAAAAGAGAAACATGGTAATTAGCCGTACCTCTGCTACCCTTCCCATTGGCTAATCAGGGCGATATGCAAATTAACTGCCAGCCAAGATGGTGGCCGGCAGCCAGGCAGCTTGAAGCGAACATGAGGCTTGCTTGCTTCAGTGACGGAGGAAGCCAACGTTCCCCGCCTGCCACTGCCGGCCTCTGAGCTTGCAGTTTGAAACGTTGTTACAAATATAGAATCTAAACAAACTCCAGAAACCTGCTTTCAGCCAGCCGGGATCTCAGAGCTGGAGTTGAAACAGTGTTTCGATTATAGAACCCAAACAAACCAGATACCTGCTTTCAGCAGCCTAGGCCTAAGAGCTGGAGCCAAGCCTCAGAGCTAAAGCTGGCCCAGAATAAAAAAAAAAGAAAAAAAGGA